ATCAAGGAGGGGGTTTTTTTGGTAAATCCAAATATATTTGTTAAATTAGCATGGAAAATCTAATAAAGTAGTACTATTTTTATCAGACATGGTTATTGTGAAGGTTCACTGTTCCTATCTTTTAAGAACATGTTGGTTGTCTTTGAAGATGACTTGGAAATTTCAGTGAGTTCGTCCTTCACTTGAGTACCAATAATGTCCAATAGTTAGAAAATGTCAATCCTTTTAGCCCTTTACCACCTCAACTTACTGATTGTAGATTAACCACCCTAAAATCTCTCTCTCTTTTATAAATTATACTTCAGTCAAACCACCCTCTTAAAATAGAGTCAGAATAAAACAATATATAGAAATGGTTATTTTTGGGAAAAACAACAAGAACAAAGTAGCAGCATCTTGTTTGCAATCTTGGCAACCCTCTTCCAACGATCCTATTGCAAGTACCCTGGGCATCAGTTCTTGCAGCAATGATCATGAAGGCCACAGAATGCAGTTTTGGAATGTTTGATGTTAGCTACTCAACTGGGTATTAATGTAAGTGTGGTAAAAGATTTTTTTCATAAATAACAATAAAGCAGGCCTAATATCCCACTAAGAACTTTCCTCCTCAGTTCTTCACTATTCTTCACATGTCACTGGAACCTGCTTGTGTCTGAGCTGTCTTTTACTGTTTAGGGGGCTGCCATCATCAGCAAAAGGCATTGTTTTCCTATTACCCTCCCGCATTATTCACCAGCTGCAGCTATTTATTTGTGCTGTACATGGATACACATATTTAAAGTGTACTTACTCCCAGTGGAAAGACCGATTTCTGGCAGAAAATACCTACTATCTGACCCAGCCGTTTGTTCCAAAAAGAAAGCTGCGAGGAAGGAAAGAGCAGCTCCAGTGGCAAGAGAGGGTGGAAGGAAAGAGCAGCTCCTGTGGCAATTCTGCATCCTCTTAGCATTTTCTTGTAACTATACTGTTTTATAGATGAAACGCCACAGCAAAATGACAAATACAACACATAAAAGAACAAAAAGGGGCAATAAATCACAAGTGACACTTGCAGCCTATTAAAATGCATTCAGCTGGTGTTGCAGAAAAGAGAGCATTTTCCATTCAGTCTACATTCTACTCTGCAGGATAGAGGGAAGCTGAATCTTTGAACTAGTGCTGTAGCAAATGCTAAGAGCTCTAATCGAAGCAGATGTGCTTGAAAAAAGATTGGTGGCAAAGGCAGGCAGCTGATCCAGGCCGACAATCAGAAGATTTTATCTAACCTGGCTGAAATATTCATAACACAGCCTGTGCACAACTCTGACTCCATTAACCGGATTAGGGATTCTGCCTATGTCAACAGAGAGAGAGCTGTGCCACTGGTCATTTTCAGATTTTGGGGTGACTTCCACACCATCCCAAAATCCACATGTGTGGATCTGGCATTTGCACACATTTGATCTTACTTGTTTGTGTGAATTTATGCACAAATCCCCCATGATGTTTATTTTTATCCTTTTCTCTGTAAGGGGAAATGCACTAATTTGGTATTTCTTATTTTGTGTACTTTTCTGTAGCTAAATTTGCACGAGAATATGCAAAACCAAGAAATCAGTACAGAAGCCCAGCATACTTCATCTGACCTAGGAAAGCCAGCCCACAGTAGAATCCACATGGTGGACTCTTAAGAATACTGAATTCAATTGAGTCCGTTGTACATTTCTTCAACAGCCATACTTGGGTATTTTAGGGGAGCTGAATCCAGTGATTCTGACATCAAGGGTGATGCACCAGGTTTCAGTCCAAAGGCTAAAGCAGCTTTCCATGGTGCAGAACCTAATTTGGGGCTAGGCTTTGGCACCCTGAATAGCTCCTTAAAATTTCAGACTGAACCACAGGGTAAATATACAACCCCACTGACACTGGAGCCACCAGACTCTACTGTTTGAAAATAGCTGACTCTCATTCAGAGCTTTGTTGCCTGTTGTAGGAAACACCTGCATATGAGAAGTCACCATAGCTGAACATAAGGCAAGGAAATGCCCTGAGATGCAACAGTTTACAAAAACCTGGAACCCTTCGTTCCAGATACAAACAACACTATTGGTATAACATCGTAGCAAATAAGGCACAAAGGGCAAACAGGCAATGATAGTTATATAAGAAAACAAAACACTTGAAAGAAAGTTAAAAGCCCGAGCGGAATTTAGAGCAGGTTTCATTCATGCCCAAACCAAACTGGGCAGCCTTCCTCTGCCTGCCACCTTCCAGACAGGTTGCACTCCTGGGAATTGCAGGTCAACATGTCTCATGGGTGCAAAGTTGGGGAAGGCAAAATTTGGACAACCATGGTAAAAGTGACAAAACTGAAGGGTCAATTCTACAGATATCAGTGCTGTTAAATATACTTTTGGCTTAACTGGAATGTTGATGAAGTTGCCTAAATAAAAAGAACCTAAATAAAAAGAACCTAATACAAGAAAAGCCCAGTCAAAGTTTGTAATCTTTAGTAAGTGTGGGAGTTATTTCAGAAACATGTGGATTCTGAATTTAATTTCAGGGCTATTATATATGCATTTATTAATTCTGCTAGTTTCAGCTAACCATTCTGCTGTTTAGCTGACAAAGCTGGAAGGCTGCCTCAGCAACAAATCATGTGGTACTAATTTAGATCATGTTTCACTAAAGGTGCTTAGCAGCTACTGCCTGATACCTCTTCAAGCAGAAAATTCACTTGTACAAGAGGGAAAGAGTGTATCAGAAAGGAAAAGCAGTCTTGCTCCTTACAAACAGGGAATGGAAAGCGCATTTGCTCAGCAGACACACTGTGTTCTGTCATGCACTGGAATTTCTTCTCACCAATAGACATACTACACACCAAGGATGGTATTTTGCTTTGCAGCAGGCAGGATACTTGTAGACTAAAAAGAATATCCCAAGCATTCCTAGCTGCTATGTTTCATTTGAAAGAATGTAATCTATACCATCACTCCTTTAAAATAAGCTTCTCCAGCTTGTGCTCTCCTGGTGTAGCCAGTGGTCATGCTGGTTGGGAAGAAAAGCACTGCAGTGCAACACATCTGGAGAGCACCGGGATGGGAGAACCGTCTAAAGGAGTGGCTAATAACCAGTTTCTTCAAGCAATTATTGATAAATCTTCTCCTTTGGCCAAAAATTCCTGCCAAGCTAGAGGCCTGGTGCCAGAGTCATTGTACTCCTCTATCCCACTTATATTTTCCTGTAGGGCATGCATGAAAAATCACCAGGCAAACTGAGGTCACTTATTAACCTGAAACATCACATTTCAACTACCCACAAAAAAGGTAAGCTAACTATTTATCCCCTCTTCCATTTTCCTTTTAACAAAAACTCTTCTTTTCTTGGTATTTTAATATTTTCTTGTTGCTCCCAAATCACACTGACAATCCATTCTGTACCTTCTAATGCTTTTCACAGAGTTAAGGTTTATATTCTTTGTCATTTGTTAAACCGTTTTATTGCTGTGATTTAAAGTAATATTTTTATAGGCAGTTAGTTAATGCATCTAGTGCCATGTTGGAAATAACTACTTCTGACCCATTCCACATCCACAAAACATGACTTAGGTAAATTTTTGGTCACCTCATTAGCTTAGAAACATAACAATAAATATCACAGTTTCTATATCCACTAGATATATGATATCTACAAGGAAGTGACTTGTTAGGTCTTGTTTATCCATTTGGCCATTATCTTTGGGCAAGAACTTACTAATGCATAATTAGCACTGAATATTGCAGGACCAGTTGCTGGTAATAAAAATCTCTGTACAAGAAAGTAGTAAGGAACACCCCCCCCCCCACACACACACACAACCTTTTTCAGAGGGGAGAAACTCATGCATGCATCTGCAAAAGTTATTTGAAAACTCTGGAAATTTTCAGGATTTCTGTGGAGGTCTGATATCATTGCATGGAAAAATTCATTGCAATGGAGGAGTAAGTTCTTCACTTATTCTTTTTCTTTTGGCCAGGGAAAACATTTGTTTTTAAACCCTGAACAGTTTTGTGAATGGCTAAAGTATGAGAGTAGTTAAAAAATGAATTAAATTATACCTCACCAACAGGCTTGGTTAAATTTTTAACATGACAAACTTGAATATCTGACATATAAGGGTTTTATTTACTTTTATTTTAATGTTATGCTACATTAACTGCATTTAGGGGATTAATATTTTTAAACTTTTCATATAAACACATTCTTGTCCAATCCTAGATGTCGTAAATTAAATGTTTATGAATCAGTCACATGTTCTAGCAATCTAAAAACTAAACCTGAGATATATCTGTGTGAGATGGGTTGGATACAGAGCTCCCAACTCTGCATCCAACTTGGGGAAACTGACTGGGGGAAGCTGACTTTTATATCCTTTCCCTCCTCGAGTACCCCTAAACCCCTGAGGGTTGGAGGGCCCTGTTTGAGCTCTGTTACAGGGGGCTTTGGGGGAAGAAAGAAAGAAATAGAAAATCAGGGAGAGAGACAGGCTTTGTCCAATTTTTGCTATTTTCTCATCAGCACCCTGTGCCACCCTAATCAACAGTGTCCCCAGCCTCCACGGTAGCATTTTTAGCCAGCTGTGGAGGCTTCAAGGGAGGGGACAGTGCAGGAAAATTAGACTGCAAAGCTCCCTTATGTCTCAGTCCGACCCATGTGGAAGTGTTAAGATCCTGAAGAATATGTTAGCTGCTGGAAAGTTAGGACAGACAAAACTATTTATGACATTACAATTTAGTGGGGTCAACCCAATGCTTAAATACACAATGAAACATGCAGTGGAACAGTCTCACACCCATGATTATAGGTGTTCTAATTGTTTGGTATTCAGCAAATTGCTTAACAGATGCAAGGGTTGAACCACAAGAATTCTACAAAGTGGTAAACCAACTACAAGCAAAGAATGATGAGGATGTAAAGGAAAACAAACCCAAAAAGCAAGATGGAAATGGGTAAGATGACTTGTCTATACTTGAGTGTCTGACCTGTTAGTTGGTCGTCGCCTGCAGCAGGGGCGATGCGAATGTATGGTGTTGTAAGCTGAGTCACGATTATCGCAGCTAAGGCAAAGGAAGATTTCCAGGTCAGCATGCATGAGGGAAAAAAAAGCCAGACTGAAGCTAAGCTAGCAAGAAGCAATTTGTTCAAATTTTATTGTTTCAATTCCTTACAAATCAAAAGAAAGAAAGAAAGAAAGAAAGAAAGAAAGAAAGAAAGAAAGAAAGAAAAGAGTGAGTTACACTAATAAATTCCTTTATGTAGTTTTATACATGCCTGGGTAATACGGCTGTTTGAATAAAGGTTGATGGGAACTGGATTGTACACAGATAAGCTGGGGAAAAAATCAAAACTACAGGGACGGTTTCTAGCTAACCATGTGCACAGTGCAGTCCTCACTAACCTTTCTTTGCTCAGGTATTTATGCATATACTCAACTAAACAGAAAAAAAATCAGCAATGGGATAAACTCCCAGTTATGCAGTGCCCCTTGCTGAAGAGTTTTGTTTGACCAAAATGGCCAACTGACAGTATGGACTGTCTCCATGGACTGTATTCAACATTTCTTAGACAATGATCCCCAAAACACTAGTAGAACTGCACTTGCTTCCACCCATGAGCACGACTATATAAAATTTCATAAGCCAGTTCTTACTTATCCTACAAACAGTTTACTGAAAAATTAACTTCTAGCAGTTTTATATTGTAAAGCAGCACAATGCATTTTCCATCTTTAATTTAAAAAGAACTCTTACATGTTATTAGTTTGCTTCTATATCACAAATTGTAAACACCAAATGAAGGGGCTGTCTCTAGACTACCTAAGAAACAAGCTAGCTATTACGACAGGGAGTCCGGAATCTGTCCCTGTTCATTCCCGCTTCCCTCTGTCCCCTCCCCTCTCTCTTTAACTTTATCAAATAGGTGTAGAGGGAGAACTTGATCTGATCCAGATTTGGACCAAAGCACTGAAAGTAGCGGGGCTTTCATTACCCCCCCCCCCCCCCCACCTCACAACATTTTCTCAATGGAAATGTCACACACAGGTACACACATACACACAGTAGCTATTTTCCCGATTAGGAAAAGTGTACTATATGCAAGTAGGACAAGTACCAGTGTTTGGGGGCTACTTTCTAAGAAACAGCAAAGAGAGAAGGGGCTAAACACCCCTCCCCATACATCATGATCCCAATCTCTATCACACTCTTTACACTGATATTTGCTAAACTTTAGAGAAATGAGACTGTCCATGTCAGATTTCACCATAACATGCTATGGTTTAAAACAGAGGTGGGCAACTCGTAGCCCTCCAGGTGTTTTGACATGCAGCTTCCATTATTTGTTACTATTGACTAGCTGATGAGAGTCGTAGCTCCAAACACCTGGAAGATCACAACTTGCCCACTTCTGTTTTAAAGATGCAGGATAATCCCTTGCAAATCAATATCTGAAAGGCCCATGTTTCTGAAAACTGTTGAGTATATTTAGTAATGAGCTAGATGATTCAATTCTTAAAGACTTGACAGTGCCTCACTTATATGCTGCCTTGATAGAGGTAGGTAAACACTGAGCTCTTTCCATCTTGCTATCAGAGCATGCGATGAAATAAGCATGGAGAAATTAATATTCTAAGTGAGTTTACTTAAAGAATTACTTGATGGTTTCTATGCAAAGTACATCCATTTATTGAACATAATGAAAAAGAATATAGTGTGTTACACCTTACTGCCTTGTTATCAATTATATAACACACAGAGTTCTGCTTTTTTTACTTGCATTTTTTCTATGAACATGAGAATGATAAGATATGACTTTTCATAATTTTAATTTATGGTTGCTCATATTTTCAACTAATGAAAGGTTCAGTAAAAATCAAGGTTAAACAAATCCATGGTTTGATTTAAGAATCACATATGTGCAATACCCATTTTACCTATTTTTATAGATGTGACTCCCAGAAATCACTGCGAGAGCCATTCTTACCTCTGAAACTCAAATTGAATGTGCTTATGAGTACTCCCACAGATGGCAGCTGCCCTTCTGCTTTAAATTTCATTTCAGACTGATTAATGTTTATGGCATAAGATGATAATAAGCAACCCCTTTTATGAATATTAAGAGTATGCAGTGCCTTGCATGACTAAAGGGGTTTACTGTTCACATTTATGATACATTTCTCCTCTATATGCAATCAGCAATTCTATAAATAGTTACTAAACTATTGGGTATGTAATATACATTATGTTCAGTGCAGGGAAAAATAAAGCAATGTTTAAAAGGTCAGTTCTAGCAAGCCACATCTGGGAACTGGAATAAGGGGAGTGGGGTGGAAACTGGAAATAAAGGAAAGGATCATACTGAAGCTTGTAAATTTACGTACAACTGCCTGAATGCAGTTAGGTATATGGCAATGAGTGAGGAAGGGAGATTACCCACCATCTGCAGACAATTAAGTTCAAAACCACTGCTGCATAATATTTTGAAATATCTCTATGACACTCTGAAACACTATGATGCTAGTAACTGTTGGTACAAGATTTAAAATAGGATAATACTAACAATAAACCTTCTCTTTTACAACTGATGGAACATTTTCTAGTCTTGCAGGATCAAAACAATAGACAAAGACACTTGAAATTGTAGAAGACGAAGAAATAACCCTCCCAATTAGAATATGAATTGTGGAGAGGGGAGTGGAATAGAAAATTTTCTCATGTCTTAAGGGTGGGCCTTAAAGACATGGATTCTGATTCTAGGAGAGGGAAAAAACTTGGTCTGGATTTCAAAAATATGGTATTTACTGTTTAAATAACCTTGCAGTGATTTAGGATGATAATAAAGACTTGTCTTGTTAAAAAATTAGGCTAACTACGCATGTTTTCTGTTTGATATCCTCTGGTTTCTAAATCATATAATCTTGGAAATAATGGTTGAAATCCTATGGTCTCCCACAATCTTTGGGGTGTGGAGGTAGGATTATTCAGACCGGGGTCCTCCAAACTTGGAGCTTGGACTATGGGGGCCGAGCCACCACACTGCCTGCCTTGCAGCTAGCATGGGGGGAAAAGTCTGAGAGAGGAAGTATACCTGAGCAGTGGGGAAAAGGCGTGTGCTAGGCATGGGCAGCAAAGATGTTGGTGCCAGCTACCGATGCCAATTCCTGCAGGGAACAGACTGTGACATAAATGAGAATGCTCAACACTTTCCACCTGTTGACTCACTTTAATTCGCACCATTCCCTGTGTACTGCTTTACCGAATACACATCTCTCTGACCCTTCAATTAGATGCTAATCAGAAAACAAAGGAGACTCATATGAAAGTTTGTGTGCAGAAACCTTAATTGGTAAATTGTCTCTTGATTCTGGAGTTTTAAGGTACAATCTGTCCGTGGGCGCCTGGTGAATACTGCTTGTTCTGTCTTACCATTTGATGGATTGCTCAATACAAGGAATTACTTGCTTTCATTCCTCTACTTAGCTACTCTATATTTTAATGTATACATTTTTAATGTGAGGTAACAACATATTTCTCTAATTAAGTTGAGAAACACTCATATTCAGACAAGGTAGGGGAAAATTTCCTATCACAGGCTTCATAAGAATATAAGTGAAGCCATGCTGAATCAGACCAAAGGTCCATCTTCAGAGACAATCCCCACCAGAGTTACAAAATCTGGATGGAGTGGTTTAATACTTCATACAATATTTTATAGATATGCCTTAGTTCTCTATTTTGTATTTAATAAAAATATTTTACACTGCTTTTAAGGGGAGAACCCCTTCAAGGTGGTGTACAGGATAAAAATGATAGAAACATATAAAATAAACATGTTATAAATATACAGCAAAATACTGTAAAACAATATAAAAACAGATTAGGCTAAGAAAACATGCCACCTGTAATTTACTAGAAGGCCGGCAAATGCAAGTAAGCCTTCCGAGCTTTCCTGAAGACCTGCAAGGACGAGGCCACAATGGCATATTCCTTGAACTCAGCAGCCTAGCTGCACTTGGCAGCAGACAAGTGTACACAGCTTCTGTATGTGACCTAAAAGTGCAGGTAGGCTAGTAGGGAAAAGACATTTAAGTAACTTGGGTCGAGATCATTTAAAGTGTTAAAGGTTAGGCTGGGGTTTTATGTTCCTGCTGCCAACATAAACTTTTTCAAGCTTATCGAAGTCCCCTTCCCTAATTAAAGAAAGGCAGTGTGGCCTGGTGGTTAGAGTGTAGGACGGGGACTCAGCAGAACTGGGTTCTAGTCCCCACTCAACAAGGAAGTTCACTGGGCGGCTTTGGGCCAGTAATTGTCTCTTACCGCCCTCACGGGGTTCTTATGATGATACAATGGAGGGGAGGGGTACAATTAGGTAAGCAGCCTTAGGTTCCTTGCACGATTAAAAAGGAAGGATATAAAATTAATATAGTAATTTTATATTTGTAAACATAGTATTTACAATTAATAAAATTAATATAGTAATAATGTCAGATTCTAATTAACCTTTCCCCACACCCACTCCAATAATCTCCCCAATCTGATTCAAGGGACAAATGAATGAATCTGTCAGTTTTGCTTTCTCATCCATTCAGATTTTTTCAAAACTCATGTTCTTTCTATAATATTTCTTATAGAAAACTGAAAAAAACTGCAACAAACGGAAACGAATTTCTAACTGATCTACACTGGACAAATTGGTACATGCAGCTACTCTTAACATGTAGAGGACTGTGTTGTACCTGCCTGCCATATTGCTGTTAAGCATGAGAAGGCTTTAAAAAGGGGTGGTGGTGTCAGCCTTAATTCAGCTTCAGAAACAAGCAGAAGCTAAGGACCCAAACCTCAGGGCCTGGATGAACAAATCTAGTTTTGATGTCTAAATATTCCCATTCTGAATATGAAAATCTGAATTTGCAGTTTTTGGTAAATTCTCAAAGAAGCTTTTATGAAATTCTTGTCCATCCCTATGCAGACAACCAGACCTGAAAATGTTCCCCTCGGCTCCAGAACACTGGGTTGAACCAAGTTTCTCAGCCGACTATCATGGTGGATTCCTTGCCTTC